CGCCATGTATGATTACTGTCATGTACGATATGGCGTATGAGTAACATTATTTCCTGCTAGCATTTCATACAAAAAATTATTGCACTTTCACTTAACCATTGCAAACTTGTTTATTTATCCATCGATATTCATCGGTGGTAGTGTTTTAAGCAGCAGAGCAAGCAGATATTGGCTAGTCTATACTAATACTAGCAGACCCGGCGAACTTCGTCCCGCCCAAAATTTCTTTCCTTATTCAAATATTTGGTACAAAGTTTTTAGCACAATTCACGTTCACTTTTGATTTTGTGGTCGTCAGAAAGCATATCCTCCATTGCCGTCTTAAATAACCTAACGAAAGTGTTATGTCCGTGAAGAAGTTCTTGCGGAAACAATGATCTGGCTCGATGGTGAATCGTCCCTGAAGCTGTATAGAAAAGGTGGTGGCAATTTCAAAATGAACAACATCATTGGCCCACAAAAATCCAATATACATAGACTTATTTCTGACTAAGTGTCTTACAATTGAATTTGTAGGCATTCATCAAGAATTGTCTTTATTTTGTTTAGTCGACGTAAAGCAAGGACCACAATGGTTATGGTGGTCGATTTAACGGTGGTAATTTGATTTTGATCCCTGGTGTCTCCGAATGACTTCACTTGACGATTTTTAGCAATAACTCGACTCCAGCGCCACCTTGCGGCTCTTTGTTTGAATAGTATTACCCTACCGTTACCAAAATACATACATCTTGTTTATGAGGGAAATCTGACCATAAATACGATATTTAGTTATAACTCGACTGCAGAGCCACCTGGAGAGCCATTTTTTCCCCAGAAATATTTCCCTTCTTGTTACCAATATATGTATATTTTGAATATTAGCCAGATCAGATTATAAATACGATTTTTAATAACGCGCCTCCAGCGCCACTTGGCGTTTTAAGTTGTGAACCTAAACTATACGGGGACTTTAGGACAAACATTTCATTAAAATCATTTCGGTCGTTTAGGAGGAGTTCACTCGAAAACACACGTACCGAAGAATTATATATGTATTTATAGATATGTAAAAGTTTCAGTATGTTTGGGGGCGTGGTGCCTTCCAATAGCTCCCACTTTTCTCCAAGAGTATGGGATTGATTTCAAAACCTTCATACTAAGTTCCAGGACTCTACCACAAATGCTTCCAGAAATATGCGGTGGCTATAACCAATAAAGCCTTTTGAAAAAAATCGGTACAGCCGTTCGCGAGATCACTTCTTACAGAAAGGTGGCACTTCTCTTAATATAATGGGTATAGATAATAAGTATCGATAAATAGCCAATACCCGCTTGCTTTCGGCGCCTTAAAACATTTCGAATTGTAAAACAATCATTAATTCTATTATATATAATAGATCGGTCCCTGGTCCACCTATAAGAAAAAAGTATCCTATATTTTAATCCAGGTAGTAAGCTGCCTACGCCCCAAATTTCAAACGAAACTAAACATGTTAGAAAAAAAAA